TGATACTGTAAAGATCTAAGCATATTTCAAGTTTATTCCATTTTGGGAAATCTGCTAACATTTTATTAAGAAGTGCTAAGATTTTAATAATATCTATCTTTCAGGTTCTCTATGCCATTGGTGGTGTGGAAATGACTGCTGGTGATCACCATTTAGTCGTAGCTGACCAGCAACACACACTCGTCGACCTCGAGGGTGTTCATCATCCCCACCACCATTCACAGCAGCAACAATTCTTAATATCAGGCAGTCCACAGTCTCTACAATCGGCCGCAGGTACTGCAAACGAGGCTCCAGCCACCATTGACGTGACTAACGCCGCAGGAGAGGTAGTGCAACAGTTTATTTTGCCGCCAGATCTACAACTAGAAGAAGGGCAGACGCTGATTATGATACAAGATGAAGACGGACAACCACAACTGGCCATTGTAAACCAAGCTGGCAAGTTTTAACAATCACTCATCAGGAGCACAATAGTATCCAATACGTAGCTGAACCCAAACACATGCCAAAAACTATTTTGACGCCAAATTGTCTGAAGCATTGCTTGAGCACAGCATATTTGTTACTTTTTGCATGGCCCCTAGTAATGATTAATTGATCTAGTTGGTGCAAACTCCCAGCGACTCAACGGATAAGCACCCGATGGGATCCAGAATTAACCAGCCCATTACTTCCGATGGGGCGAATGACAGTCTTAGACTAAATAGAAAAACAGCAGGTTTCACTTAATAGGGCAACCACCAATATTTTAACGTGTAAAATATCCTCTTACTCATTTTTACCGCCACCTTGCATACCTATAGATCTCGTCGACGCTGGAGGAGGCCAAATGATTTTACAAACGGAAGATAACCAGGCGGATGGGATTCTTATATACGGTGGGGTAAGTACCATTGATTTACAATCAAAAACAATATTTACTTATTATTATTCACAAACTGCCAAATTTCCTAAGGAAAAATTCATTTAGCAGAGCTTCCCTTTTTCAGGGAGTCGACGGACAAGATCTACCCGATGAGGAAAAGGAGAATCAGCAATTCGTGTGACCATATTTTATTGTCTTCTTGTATACATCACTAAGTTATTTCATTTTTTACGAAAATACACCAACACTTAATGTACTCTTTTTTTGTCCATGTATAACTAAGCAATTTGCCAATTGTATTTTATGATGACATTGACAGAGCTGGCGAATTTATGTTAGATTGAAAGGATTCCCGTGTAACTGCAAGGCCAACAAATCATCTTTTCTTCTAGGTAGTGCCATTACTAAAAAAAATTTATCGGGTAGTTTTTGAAACCAC